ACTAAACAGAGAATCAAGAAGATGGAAAATTAAAGAATCAGATAGAAATTCTGGAGCTGAAGAGCACAATAATGGAAATGAAAGATTCACCAGCAAGGCCCCAAAACATATTTGAGTAGGCAGAAAAAAGAATCAGTGGACTTGAAGACAGGTCAATTGAGATGATCCAGTCTGAGTCTGAGGAATACATACAGAAATGGAGAAATAATAGTGAATAGAGCCTCAGAAACCCGTGGGACACTATTACACATGCGAAATACACATAATGAGAGTCCCAGAAGGAAATAAGAGGGAGAAAGAGGTATTATAGAAAGAATATTTGAAGAAATAATGACCAAAAACTTCCCAAATTTGATGAAAATGATTAACCTACTTACCCAAGAAGCTGAACAAAGCCCAACTCAAAGAGATTCATAGCTGGACACATCACATTCAAAGTGCTGAAAGCCAAACCAAAGAATGTTGAAAGCACAAAGAGAAAAGCAGTGCAATAGACATGCGGGATCCTCAATGAGCTGAACAGCTGACTTCACATTAGAAACCACAAAGGCCATGGAGGCAGCACAAAGTGCTGAAAGAAAAGAACCTCTCAACCCAGAATTCTGTATCTGGCAAAACTATCTATTAAAAATGAAGGTTAAATGAAGACATTTCTAGATAAACAGACACTGAGAGGGTTTTTCACAGGCTTGCCTTATAAAGTATTCTCTATATTAAAGAGATACTTCAGACTAAAATGAAAAAGCATGAGATAGTAATCTGAATTAATAAGGAGAAACAAAGGCACTGGTAAAGGAATTACATAGCTAAATATAAAAGACAATGTGAATTTATTTTTTGTTTGTAGCTTCCTTTGTTTCTATCTGGTTTAAAGGACAACTGTATAAAGCAATAATCATAAATCTAAGTTGGTAAGAACAAAGTATATAGAGATATATTAGTAATTTGTGATCTAATAACATCAGGCAAGGGAGAATTGAATGACATAGGAGTGATCTTTTTGTATACTATTAAGCTGGTATTACTCCAAACAGATTATTATAAATTGAGATATTGGTAATCCCCAAGGCAACTGCCTAAAACAAACAAACAAACAAACAAAATAAAAAGGTCAAAAGGTATATAGTACATCTGGCAGGATCTCACCTATTGTCACAATGTGAAGGTGTTCAGCATGCCCCTGGGTGAAGGGCTCAAGTACAACTTCAACTTTATCTTAGAACTGAAAACAATGTAACCTAAAAAGCTGTACCCTCATACTAATTTGATTTTTTTTTAAAAAAAGGTATACAGTAAATGAAATAAGAGGACTAAAATGGTAATCTATAAAATACTTAACATAAAAGAAGGCAGTAATGAAAGAATACAGGAATAAAAAAGATAATGCTGTATAGAAAAGAAATAGCAAAATGGCATACAAATCTTTAATTATATTAAATGTAAACAAATTAAATTTTCCAACTAAAAGAGATTGGAAAAATAGATTTAAAAACATGACCCAACAATTTTCTGTCTACAAAAGACTCATTTTAGATTCTCAGGCACAGAAAGCTTGAAAGTAGAAGGATGTGAAAGATACACAATGCAAACAGCAAGAAAAGGAGGGCTGGAGCAGCTGTACTAATGATAGACTTTACGGCAAAAATTGTTACTACAGACAGAGGACTCTTTATAGTGATAAAAAATCAATCTATACAGAAGACTTCACAATTATAAATATACTTGAACCTAGCAATAAAGCCCATGAATACATGAAGAAAATTGAGGTCTCTAAGGAGAATAAAGGAGAAGGCAGCTCTGTCCTAAATATTTTATCTCATGACCCTTTTTGGTGCTTAATATCCTACCACTAGGGACTAATTCCTGTGGGTTAAAGGCTTACCTCCCTTAGTGTCCTCTGTAAGGTGTAAATATGGCCCCAAAGCTGCCATTTCTATTAATACTTTAGCTGAAATTGGTTTCAAACTCCTTTGCAGCAGTGACTGCTAGTGACAGACAAAGAGTTGAGCCATTTTTGATAAAGTGTATAGCTATGCCTGGGCCCAGGGGCTGGGAGGAGAGGAGTCCAAGAAGAGGGGAGGAGAGTCCAAGCATTGGGTGGAGGTTTTAAGAACAGAGAAGGCTACAGGAGAGATAAAGCTAGGGTGTCACAGGGCAATAAAAAGACCCCAAAGAAACTGTGAAGGGAAACAAATGCTTGACAAGGAGCAGAGTGGCTAGGGCATTGGTTGGGTGATGAGGTTCCTGATTTGGCAGCTGGGGGATGAGGGCAGCAGCACGCCCCAGAAGAAGTAGAAGGAGTCAGAACAGGGGAGCAGGTGCGAGGTAGGCATGGTCATTCACAGGGAATACCCAGGAGCTGTGACCTAGTCTGAGCTACTGTATGAATCCTGGAGAATCATACAGAGGGAGGGAGAGCAGACAGGGGCTGAGGTCTGGCAATAGGCACTGGAAGGAGACAGGCACTGATCAGGAAATCAGGAAGAAAAGATGGCAAGGCTGGAAATGAGCTCAGAACCCAGGGAAATGGACTGGGCAAACATGCACAAACCAGGTTGTGTTTGTCCAAGTGCCCAGTTCCAGGTAGACACTTGGTAAATGTTAGCTGTTTCTAAATATGAAACTGAAACCAGGCAAGTGGCCTGGGAAGCAACTCAGTGTTGACAACGAAAACAATCCTTACCATTTACACGTCTTAGGTGCTGGCCACTGTACTAAGTACTTTATCTGCATGACTTTATTTAATACTTAAACTGTCCTTGTGAAGCAGACATCAAACGCTCCAATCTATAGAAGAATGTGAAACCTAGTCAGGGGCTTGCTCAAGGTCTCTGCAGCAGTATTAATGGGACAGAGCCAGGTTTCTGTGCCAGCCTCTGTGCCAGGGTAACAGCCACTGGGATGGCTCTGATCAACATGGCAGCTTAAAAGGAACAGGAGGGGCCCTCAGAAGTCCTCATCCTCTATTCTTTTTTAAGTGTGGAGAAGGGAGCTGTAGAGGCCTAGAGGCCATCTCTGCCCCTCTCTCTGCCTAGCCCCGTGAAGAACTATGGGATTTACGCTGCATGCCAGAAGGCCAGGCACCACAGTCATCCCACCTGCCCTAAATCTTGCATGCCATTCTTCTATGTGGACAAATGTAGCCCCAAGCCAGGGACAAGGTGCTGGGGATAAAGGCACCTGTGGGATTAGGTACCCTTAGGGATAGCCAATTGCCATTTCTTTTTGTGTCTGAGCAGGTGAGCTGGTTTACTTTTTGCACGGCCATCCCTGCCTTCCACTCTGCCCTTCACACATTCATGGAGATTGGGGGCCACCTCTGGGTGACCCATGCATCCCCTCTTCCTGCCACACCCTACTAAGGAGACCACCACCACTGCCCTTCCCTAGGAGAAAGGAGTTTCCAGAGTTCTTTTCCACTTTGGGCTGGAGTTCAGGAGCTAGTCTTCCTTAGAAAGTGAATATGTCCTCACAAACATCTGAGCAGGAAAAGCCTGCAGCACTAAACAACCCACCTTCACTCACTGGTGAGGTGGGAGCCCAGGAAGGAGCTGGCTTGCTCTAGCACTGCATGCCTCCTGCTGCCCTGTCTTTGTTTTCATTCAGCATCCTCCATGGGCCCCCTGGTCCCAGGCCCTTGCCTGGTGACCTGTAGGGGCTCTGACTCTTTTTGGGAAGAGCTTTGGCAAGTGGCTTCTCCCCTGTCATTTAGTTATGCATGGGTTATCTTCAACCATCTTCTTGGGGGCCTATGGACACTTTCTGCCCCTCTCCGTCTCTGCATACCCCACCTGGGTGTGGATCCCCACTTTCCTATGGGAGCTGGGTCAGCAGTTCTAGAATTTATAATTAGCAGTGATCTTGTCATAGTTTCCTCCAGACTGTCACCCAGGGCAAGAAAGCCCTGACAGCCAGTGTGGTGCCAGACTGGCCTGGAACTCATCGCCCCCAGCTGTAGGCAGCCCCCAGGGGCCCAGATCTTGCCCTCTGTCCAAGTGCCCTGCGCTGCTGCTGTCACAGGGGTGCTGCAGACAGTGGCTACTCTCCATTCACTTTTCAAGCAAAAGCATCATCACAGCCCCACTTTAAAAAAATTACAATTTTCTGGAATAAAATAAAATAAAATAAAATGAAGTCGGTAACTGTGGACCTCGTGTTGGGCCTCATTGCTGGAATGTCAATCTACCCCGTTAATCATCATGTACGGTTTTTCGAAGAGCTATTTTGAGAAACATTTAGAAAATGGCTTTATATGGCTATATATACCTTATTTATACCCTCCAGAAATGGTCGCTCTGTTTAGCAGCAGATGGTTTTTTCCACCAGTTTTCTTCTCATCTCTTAGTCAAAGTTAAGTAGGAAGTAAGCCTACTCCCTAACCCCAGGCATACATTTTCACCCACAGTCCACCTTGGAGTCTGGGTTATAGGTGGGGGTGAGGAGGAAGGGTTCTCTGTAAGGCACCATTGCAAGAACCCAAGGGGGCAAATACAGTGGGCCTGGTGCTGCAGAGAGGGTTGGAGGGTGGACTAGAATGTGGCCACCCTGGTTTGCCTCACTCAATGACTCAGGTGTCTCAAGGTCCATGAAACATGTATCAAGAGCATCTGTTTGGCTTCCAGAGAACAGGAGCCAAAGCCAGACAAGCCACGCTGGCATCACCTGAGTGGTGTATCTTTGGCCTGCAGGAGGCAGCAAGTCTGGCCTTGCACAGTTGCCATGGCAACGGCAGTGCTCCTAAGGGCAAGGGAAGGAGGAGAGAGATGGAGAAGACATATGGTGGCTTTTCTAGAAAAACCCACCTGTTTCTTTGCCCCGGGAAACCAAGCTGGAGAAAAAAAAAAAAAAACAATAAGAAAGAGGGTGGGCATCTGGGGTCTAGACAGAGAAAGCGGAGACAAGACTCCAAGGTGCCCCAAGAGTGGCTCTCCCGACTGAATGTGTTTCCCTTCCTTTTCGGGAAGGTGAGTGACCAACAAGGACAAAGGTCTCGGTGGGTCTTGATCTGCGCAGGGGCCTGTGTGCAGGCCACCTTGTGACCTCAGGCTTGGGTGGGGACGGTCCCTGGAGGCTTTCTGTCAGCCGCAGCAGGATTTCTTCTTGGCGGGGTGGCCGACCTGCATGGTGTCCTTCCTTGCTGTATCTTCTTGCTCCTTGAGAAACCTGGGAAAGGGGAAGGGATGGTGTCATTAGTGGAGAGGCTGCTAAGCCTGGGAGATGACCAGCTGGAGCAGCCACTCTGGATCTACAATATCTGGGCAAGATGGAGAGAAGAACAACCCTTGGACGGCATCAGAGAGAGGAGTGAGCGCCTCCCCCCGGGCAGGGCAGGTGCATGGCTCGACTGGAAAGCCAGGGAGCTTAGTCAGCCTAGATCCTTCAAGACACCTCCTCTGGGAAGCCTCCCCTGATCCTTCGGGTTGGCCTGAGTGCTCCTGACACAGCACTCCAACCATCCCTCTGTCACAACCCATGACCCGAATCATAATGTGCTGTGTCCTTGGCCACCAGGGAACAAGCTGCCCGAGGACAGAGACTGTCTTCTGTCTCTGTGCCTCCGCAGCCTACTGTAGGAACTGGCACAGAGGAGAGGCCCCAAAATATATTAGTTAACTCCACTGAGGGCTGTGCTGTGTGGCCACAGCTCCAGATTAAATGTAGGAGGTGAGGGACTAAAAATGATGGTAGGCAAGCCCCTCCGCTCCGCTTTCTACTTGAAACGTTTCACCACAGGTGAAAGTGTTCTTGGAGCCTCTATCTCTACACACAGGCCTCTCCTTTGATTCTCACAACCACCTGTGAGTGGACAGGGAAGGAAGGTACTCCTGATGTTCCTAGGTAACCAACGAAGCTTAGAGAGGTGGGGTGACTTGCCCAGGGAGTCAGTGGCAAAGAAAAGCCTAGAACTTTTCCTCAGGGTACCCTATCACCCCATAACCTCTCTCATGCACAGAGGAGTTGTTCTTAATTACTAAAATAAAAATCTCTAAATGTCCTAGAACAAGTGCTGAGCATAAACTAGGCGCTGTTAAGTGTTAGATGGATGAAGTGAAATGAATGGCAAAGTACCGACAGTGGGTGCCAGTGTGTTTCTGTAGTCTTAACTTCTGGTGTAGGCCGTCTTTGCACATAACTGGTCCTTTCAGCACCATTACCTTGGTTACCTCTGACAGACTCCCCATCATAGCCCCTTCTTACTCTGCTTCCTGCCCCCCTACCCCAATCCATATTATAACCTATTCTTGCTCCCAGCTGCCTGCCAAGGAATCCCTGCTAAGGTATTTAGCCAGTGTCAAGCCCTGTGATCTGACCTTTCCCAAGAGAATTTGCATTTAAAAAGAGAATCCCTGGGAAAAGGCAGCCTTGCCTTTATAACTCAGAAGACTGCAGCTGGGGGGGGGCGGCGGCAGGCAGGGATGCTTTCTTTCTTAATATCACTGTGTTTCAGAAGGCTACCACGCATCACTGAAATCCCACACAAAGGCCTAGGCCCCTGCGGCCCAAGCTCAGAGTGCTCGGGCAGACAGGGAGAAAGGAGGCCCAGAGGGGAGGTCTGGGTGAGGGAAACACTGGGCCCACCCAGGCTGGCCTGGCTGGACCAGGCAGAGCCTTTACTGGTCAGTGTGTCTCTTTACCTGGCTAGATGGAGCAGGGACTCCTTGGTGTTGTGACCTGAATAGGCACTGCATTCATAGAAGATCAGATTGTTCTCCTAGAATCACGAAACAGAGGGAATAAACAAGAGCTCTGGGAGCAAGAGGGGGCTGTGGGGCGGGGTGGTGGGAGACCCTGTCTGCATGTGCCTGCAGGCCCCCAGCCCGCCTGCTGCCCCTCCTCACTCTGTGCGTGGCTGATTTCTATCTAACCATCTCCCAGGTGAGCTGTAACAACTGTTAAACAACAAAACCACACACTGTCTCAGCGCCTCTTGAGTGGGGGCGCATTCTCATTCCATGTTTACACGAGCCTGTGATGTGCTCAGAGACACAAAGGCTGGGTCAGTTACTATCTTCCCACTTCATAGGCGGGGAAACAGAGGCCAGAGAGGGCATGTGGTTGGCCTGTAGAGGGCACATGTTTAGTCCACGGCAGAGCTTCCTAGTGGTATCCTTTCCCCAGGACACTAGCATTGCGTGGGCCTTCAGGGCAGATGTCGGGAGGCACTCCAGTAGTAATTCTGCTTCACCCCAGTTAATTAACAGTCCAGCTGCCCAGGCTGTGCCCAGGATGACTGTCCATCACCTCATTAGGATGAGGCTGGGCTGTGTGCACGGTGGGGGTGTCCTTGGCTTAGGCTCATCCTATGCCATTTATCACTTCCATTAAAAGATCACTGGCTTCACTGCCACAGTGCTGATGACAGGGAGCCCTTGCTTTTAGATGTCTCTCCTGGAGGCCGATGCCCTGTAGGGATGCAGGCCAGCTGAGTGGGGCTGCTGTGGCAGGCTCAGGAGGCTCTGCTAGAGCTTCCCCACCCCCCACTGCAGGCCCAGCACCGTACTCTGCCCTCTCCATCCTGCCCCCTGGGCTCATCTCTCCCTGTCCACCCTCTATTTGGCCTAGATTCCAGTCCAATCTGTCAAAGAGTAGCTCCATTGGTGGGGAAGGGGATGGAGAGAAGGGCATAGGGTTAGAATTGGAAGACAGGGCTTGCTTTTCAGCTTCAAGTTCTGACCTCACCACGGTTGAGCTCTGGAATCATTGAATATATCACCTAACTCCTAAATTTCAGTTTTTTTTCACTGGCCCCATTCAAAAAGAAAAAAAAGAAACAAAAAGAAAAATGGGAAAGTAATAATATAGGTCTTCAGTTCCTTAGCCTAAGACTTCGGTTCCAGATGTATTTTTGAATTCAGAATTTTTTGAATTTTAGAGAAGTAACACATGTATATGCTACATGTGATGTAATACCCTCAGTGAGTTTAGGACAGCATTCCAGGACCAAACATATTAGTATTTCTTCTGTGAGACATCTGAATAGTCACTCAGAGTGAGGTAAAGACTGTAAGTTGCCCCATGTCATTTCTGGTCAGATTTTTCTGCCATATGTAGTGCACAAACCCTTTTTGTTTTCATAGCTTGTTGGACTTTGGGACTGTGAACATGGAAGTTTAGGGACCTTCCACATAGAAAGCTGGCAGGCCCTTCTTGCTCCTTTTTCCTTGAATCTTACCAGCTGTGCTCATTTTCCCAGGGTCTGAGCTCAGCAGTGACTGTTTAGGTCTAGAACATTAAGAATTATAGAGCATAGGGCTGGTAAGAAGCCCCTCCTCCCACATATACAGTTCCACAAACACCAAATGCTGAGGTGATGGAAGAAGCCCAGGAGCCCCTGTTTTGTTGTCTGATTTCCATTAAGTCCTGCTGATTCCATTCTTAAGCAAGGGGATTGATGCTTATTTTAACAGTAGGCTTTCTAGTGTATCTCTTGCACTTATCTTGAGTTCAAGGCTTTGAGGCTCAATCTTGATAGAAAGGATAAACTCTTTAACAGAGTGGGCCAAAAAAGAACACACTGCCTTGCGGATAGGGAGTTCTTCATCTCTGAGGGTGATCAAGAAGAAATACAGATGGTGGGATTCAAGTGTCAGAAGGGGGATTGACATAAACAACCTCTTACCGTCTCAGAATTTACAATCCTGAGTTCTAAGGAAGAGGATTCAGGATAATCCCCCGTACCCTGGTGGTCCCTGTCCAACTCCATCATGCAGTCTGTGGCTTTCTATGGGAGGACCTACGTGCACAGGAGCTGGGCCATTCCCATGGGGCTGGGACACTCAGCTTGCCCAGGTGCTTTCTCCCTACACGGCTTCCAGAGAAGGTTCCAGGCTCGTCTGCTCTTTACCTTGGCGAGCTGCTCTCCGAGGCCCCGGGGCACTTCCCGCTCCTTCTCGTTGTCCAGTTTGTTGCCCAGCAGAAGAACAGGAACCTGGTCTCCCACAGCCTCCTGCAAAACAGATGACGCTCCAGCTGAGAGGAACAGCCGTAGTGCAGCCCAGAGGGCAGAATTATGGCGGTGGCTGGACAGATGCCATCTGGCCTGAGTTAACTCCTGCTGCTACAATAGGCCAGACCATAATAGAGTTACCCCAAAAGCTGAGCGGGACAGCCACCTTTTCTGGAGCCTCCATTCACTATGCTTCTGCAAGGTGCCAGAGACTTGCCCCTGGGTGTCTCCCTGTCCTCTGCTGTGGCATGACTGCCCCCTCCCCCCTGCCTCAGGACAGAACAGCAAGCCCTCAGGTGTCCAGGAGGCAGGGAGCAGGCACAGGTGACACTGATGGACTGTGTGTCCTTTGCCAGGCCTTACAGCACCCTGAGGGCATTCCTAAGTGATCAGATTTCATCTGACGGACTGGACGGAGAGTGTTAACGTGCTGTGCTTTGGAAGCTGCTTTGTTAGCCGCAGCGTCTCCAGAGGCCTCACACTGGCACATAAAGCTCCCTGTGGGTTGAGCCTGAGTCTGCTGCACAGTCCCGAGCCCACAGTGCTCCCCACATGACTGCTGTGTGCCTGGCTGGACGTGGGCACCACAGATCCCTGCCACTGGATGCTCCAGCTCTGAAGAAAGCCCCATGCGAGGGAGAATTGTGTGGCCACAGTAGCTGTGCTTTTTGGGCCAATAGTCAGAGGCTTATTCAAAGTGTCACCCCATTTATTCCTTTAATGTCTAAAGCTTATCAGCCAGGGGCCTGCACCCTGGTCTCCTCCCCACCCTGTGACAGGGGACACTACACACGCCTCCCTTGAGTGTGGCCAAAGGGCCCAGGGTGCACAGATATTCAGTGAGCAGATATGGAAATGTTCACATGTAAGAAAGCTTTTATTTTCACTTTTGAAATATTTAATTAGGGGCTTTTAATCATAATTTGGTAACAAATAGTTACTCATTGCCGCAAAGGCAGAGGGGGCCGTGGGCTAACAGAAGCTGTAATAAACAGCAGTCGTGGTTCTGCCAACACTTCGGCTACTTTACCTCCGCAGTTCAAATGCCTCTAGTCCATCTGACGGGGACACCTATTTTAAGTTTAGATGGAATTGCATTTGAAAGGAAGCCTCCATGTTTCCTTCATCTGCACATTCGTTTATATGGCAGTTCAGTAGTGGGGAAAAAAAAATTCTCCTTCATTAAATGAGAAAGTTAAGGCTCAGAGCATCCAAAAGAACATTCATCAACAAAGGCACTGAGTTCTGAGGACTCTTTAGCATATGAGCCCATGGGTTTCTAATCCTTTTCTCTGGATTCCTTTTTCCAGTCAAATCTCTGCCACTTCGTATCTTATTAACTAGAACTCTCTAACGATGATATCTCCTGGTGAGACGGTAATTAATAGTCGTAACGATGACTTGAAGGCCCTATAAGTTGATCCTCCAATGTTTTCTGACCCATCAAAAATAGATTAAATTCTGGACACTAGTTGATGTACTAACTGAATTGCATCATATTCAAACTACTTGAAAGCAAGAAACCCACTTGAGGCGTCTACAGAACTCTGTGGCTCCCTATTAGCCACAGCCCTAGTTAATGAGAATACCCCCTTGTCTGTGCTGTGCCACAGAATACTCATGTGAAGAGTTTTTCACAGAAAAGGAAGAAAAGAGGAGGAAGCAGGGAAATGGGCCAAACAGCTTGCTGTTTAGAGCACAGCAGAGAGAGATATTTGTAGACTTATGTGTGAGGAATGACTAAGCCTTGTGGGATTTCTTGACATGGAAACTCTGAAAATATGAGCATCAGACTTGAAATCCCAGAGCAGAATTCTAACCCGGATTTTGTTGTTATTTGGAATGGGTGGATGGTGGATACTGAATGATCCAACAGGATGAGGTAGGAAATGAGTCATAAGCCCAACATCTGGACCCTACGCACCGCACCACAAACCGCAGCGCTGTCTCTGGGGAAGGAAGGGGCAGTCTACTTTCTTTCATTATTTTTTTTTTTTTAAAGAAATTCCTGGATATACAAATAAAGGAGCTTAGAAGGAGCAAAAAAAAAAAAAAAAAAAAAAGCAAAGCCCCCAGCTGGGGCTGTGGTTTCTGTTTTTTGGCATTGTTCCTGTCTTACACAACGAGTCTGGAGAACGCGCTCACTTGCACGGGCCCTGGCCTGCCGCTGATAAAGGAGAGTTAGGCCCATCTCCTAAGATTTGACCACATACAGAGAGAGAGAGTGAAAGAAAAAAAAGGAGAGAGAAAGAAAAAAGAAAAAAAAAAAGAGAACACATGGAGGGTCAGAGAGGGTGCTATCAGGGGCAATCATCGTCACTGTGGCCCAAGATCAGCCTCTGACATAGGGGCATAAGGTGAAGCTGGTGCTGGGGTAGGTTTCTTGCGGTCTTTTCTGACTTTGGCCCCCCAAAGTCTTGAACCATTGCCCAAACTTGTCCCTTCCTCATACCTAACTAGGTTTTTAGCCTGTGAACTGCATGGCACGAAGATGCTCATAATTAGCCACCATACGAAGCAACACTGCCTTTTCCAAGTCCAAAGTGCACCTCCTTCAAGCCACTGGGGATGGTGAACAAGTCTCAGGTCCATCAGCCTCCTTGGTTAATATTGCTAAAATCCCATAGGCATGACAGGTAAGGGTGACGACATCGCAGCTTCCTTGCTGGGCACACAATCTCTCTTTGGGAGAAGTGAGCTGTGCCCTGGTTCTGCCTCCATCTTTCCACGTGACTTAGCTCGGATGAATCTCCTCTCTGTGTCTCTCATCTAAAGCCATTCACTGTTCTATGATCCTTTAACAGAGAACCCTCCCTAGACCTTTAATCATCTTAGCTGCCTTTCTCTGAACTTGAGCTTGTTGGGAGACAGACTTGTTGAAATTCAAAAGATCACCCGTCTCTGACTTTAAATAACAAGAGCTGTCAACTTGGAGCAGAGGATTGGCATTGAGCTCAGAATGTGCAGCTGTAGGGTTTGGTTGGTTGTGTGTGTGTGTGTCTGTGTGTTTTAATATCTATTTGCTGGGAGGCATGAAAAAGCACTTAGCTGGGATAGTGCTGCTATTTCTCTGGAGCCAGAACAAAAAAATTTCTCAGCACATTAAAGCATGCAGTTATGCTAAGAAAAAAATGACTGCAAAATTATATCTTGGGGGTTTCCATATTTATCCACCCCCTGGACTATGAGTCAAAACAAGATTTATTTGTGTAGTTCGTTTTAAACTGCCAGCACTTCAAGCTCAACTTGGAACGTGGGAAAAAAAAAAATCAAACTGCTATTTTTTGCTCCATGCTGCACATTGTCACCAATGACAAAGATCACAGAAAGAGATTTAGCTAGCAGCCCAGGAAGGAAGAGGGAAGTGGGCCAGGACCCCTTGAGCTGAAGAACTGTTCTGCTTTGAGACAGAAGCAAGAAGGACTGAAAAAGAACTGAACACCTGTTTTTCAGTAGCAGATCCCAGTCACGGAGCACGGGACAAGACAGAAGCACCATGCAGTGGCAAAGCCCTAGATTCTAGATCTGGCTGTGGTACTGACAAGCTGTGGGTTCCTTCAGACAAGTCGCTTCCTCCTTTTCCATCTTAGCTTTTCTTACCTATGAAACAAAGTGTTGCATTAGCTTCATCTCCAAGGTTTTTCCAGTTCCAAGACACTGGTCCTTCACTTCCCTGACTTACAGGCTAACAGTGCAGTGCTATCAGAATGACAAAAGGCTCTAAAGGAGAAGTGCAGCGTCCCAGGACTGCAGACACTGGGGACCAACAGTCTGCATCTGGGGGAAATACCAGCCATACAGACTGGTATCAAAGTCACTTTTCTTCTCCCGATATAGGTACCCAAATCTTCCAATGTCCAGTTGCCCTATGGTTAAACATGGGGCCCAGAGAACCTGACTAGTTTCTTCTCCAGATTGGAGTGGTTAAGCCAGTTTCACTCAATGGAAGTGGGTAAAAGGGAGTAGAGGGGAATATTGGGAATGCTGAGTTGGCAGGAATGACTAACTTTGGTCGCTCTCCATAAGGTACCTGCGAGAGACAGCTCAGAGTGAGTCTGGCCCTGTGTGAGCCCCAGATGCGGAAGGCCTGCAGCCAGGGTAAAGTGGCTCAGCTGGGAGGGATAGGAGGACGTGGTGACAGCAGGACCTTCCACCTCATCAGGCAGGGCAGGTGTTCTCTTAGACCAAAGAGTTTTGGTTCCCTCTGGGCTAGACAGGAGCCTCCAGGGTCTACCCATCCATATGCACTCCTGTTCCATCCTGGCCCCACTGGGAGAGTCGAATGCCACACACTGTAGGACAGAGGGCTCAGGGGGAGCCTTTTAAAGTGTTTGGTCCACTCCCTCATTGAACAGTTGGCCAAAGTGTTACCACCAGGAAGTGGCTAAGCTGGGATGGTAAGAAGTTTTTTTCAGGGAGCTCCACTACCTCCCCCAGCATGCCCTCCTGTTCACACAACCCCTTCCCCAGTCCATCCTTCCCCTACGGCATGTAAGCAAAGCCCTTTTGTCTTGTGTTGCTTCTCAGGTGGAGGGAGGAAGGGGCGCTGAGAACAGCTGGCCACCTCGCACCTAATGAAAAGGCTGAACCTTGAAGACTGTTATTAAAGCTCCCCCTCCACCCTCCCTTCTCTAGGCGAGGGAGTTGGTAAAGTGCTCAGAGCTCTTTGGAAAAATAAGGCGCTCCACAAATATAAAGTACTTATTATTTTCGGTTCTCTTCAGATCAAATTAGGTGTCAAGTTTTAATCTATCACCTGACACCTCTGATTGCTGGTTGCCAAGGCAGAATGACTTAGCTTTTCAAGAATCTGGAGAACGACTGCATTCATGATGCCACTGTTCCACACCTTCAGCACACGCAGCCATTTGGCACAGCCTCCTGCACGTGCTCCTGATGCCCTCTGCCACTGAACTGCACGCATTTCCTGGTGAACCACACTGAGTCCTCCAGAGTGCCTATTGCGCGCTGGACATGCTATAGATGCTTAGTAAGTTCTTGGGGGAAGGATTACAGACGTCCTTGAAAATGATCCTGGGCCATGTTACTGAAAGGGTGGTCTCTGGGCTAGCAGCATCAGCGCCCCTGAGAACTTGTTAGACATGAAGAATTTCAGACCCCAGCTCAGCCCTGCTGGATCCCAGCCTACATTTTAACAGGATCTGGAGGCTGCCTCCTGTGGTAAGAGTTTGAGAAGCACTTGTTTAGTCTGGGAACTCTGGTGGTTGAGAATCAAAGCCCCTCCTGGGAAGCCATTGATTTTTCCCCCCCAGGTCTTCCATCATTATATCTGGGAGAGAAGACTTGGCCTCTG